GGGGGGGTTTTTTAAGGCCCAATTTGATATTTCTAGGCAGAAAATCTCAAAAAATCAGTAATTTGTGGCTAGAAAAAGGGGTAAAAAACTCACAAGCATTAGTGGTCGCTGGTGCAGTACCAAATGACGTGGCAGGTGCAGATGTCGTGGAAGTGGATCCGAAGAGTCCGCCGCTAAAAAAGAGCACTTTATCTAGGTGGGGAAAGCAGGAAAAAAATAATTTTGGGATAAAAAAACTCCAGGTTTCAAGCTAGCTAAGCTAGAGCTAGCTTTTTCTGGTTCTAAGCTAGCTTAAGGTAAAGCTAGTTTTACTTTTGCTTAAGGTATAGCTAGCTTTTTTTTCCTAAGGTATAGCTAGCTTTACTATAGATAGCTTTTCAAGTTCCAAGCTAGCTTTTCCTGATTCTAAGCTAGCCAAGATATATCTAGCTTTTTAAAGTTCTAAGCTAGCCCAGCTACAGCTAGCCCAGCTACAGCTAGCTAAGCTATAGCTAGCCAAGCTATAGCTAGCTTTTACAAATTTCAAGCTAGCTAAACTATAGCTAGCTGTTTCAGGTTCTAAGCTAGCTTTCTCTAGAGTTTCTAAGCTATATTTTCATGTATACCTAGTCGTAGCCGGCTTGGCGGCTCCAAAAAGCCCTCCTCCTCCAGAAGTCGTTGTACTAGTAGTCGATCCGAACAATCCTCCGCTTGCAGTACTCGTAGTGGTCGCTGATCCGAAGAGACCTCCACCAGTGGAGGCTGCTGGAGCTGCAGTCGTTGATCCGAAAAGACCTCCTCCTGTGGAGGCTGCTGGAGCCGTGGAACCTCCGAACAGAGATCCACCAGCCGGTGTAGCTGGTTTGGCACCGAACAGACCTCCTCCTCCAGTTGAAGCTGTGGTAGTGGCTGTGTTGGTGGTTCCGAAGAGAGGAACTGATGACGTGGCAGTGGCAGTGGGAGTGGAGGAAGATCCGAATAGACCGCCTGTCGCTGGTTTAGCTGGAGTCGTTCCGAACAGTGGGGTACTGGTGGCGGCTGCTGGTGTTGTGCTCGAACCGAAGAGGGACATCTGGAAGTTTTAATTTTGAAGATTTGGTGAAATTCCCGGTCAAAAATGGGCCTGAAATACCAGTTTTTGCGAAGAATTGGAGTTTTTAAAGCCAATTTTTCAATTTCTGGGAGTGAAAAATCCAAATTTTAATGAAATTTAGGTCAAAATCGGGTCTGAAACATTATTTTTTTGAGTAAAAACCCATTTTTTTGGAGAAAAAAAAACCTTTTTTAAGCCAATTTTCGATTTTTTTTTTGTAAAAAGTAAAAATTTAGACCACATGTAGGTCAAAATCGAGTCTGAAATCAGTTTTTTTTTGGAGAATATCCATTTTTAAAGCCAATTTTTACAAATTTTTTGGTGAAAAATAGACCAAATTTAGATCGAAATTGGGTCTGAAACTCGATTTTTTGAGTAAAAATCGATTTTTTTTTTCGAGAAAATCCCTTTTTCAAGGAATTTTCAAATTTTTTTTTGTAAAAAATAAAAATTTAGACCAAATTTAGGTCAAAATCGGGTCCGAAATAGGATTTTTTGAGTAAAAATCAATTTTTACAGATAATTTTCCACATTTTTAGGTGAGAAAATGAGAATTTCTGCTTTAAAAAAGCAAGATTTTTAGCTGAAATTTTTCAAAAAACAAACATTTTTAGGTTAAAAAAAACGGCGCTATGTTGGTTGGGGGGGGGGCACTCTTTTTTGACTTTTTTGGCATTTTCTGACTTGCGCATTAATTTTAAGCATATTAGAAATATTTTTGAGGTGTCTTGACCTCTAGAAAGTATAAAATGATATGATAAAATACAAATTCCTGTTATTTGCTTCTTTTAGGCTTACTAGGGAAGGATGTAATCGTTT